GGGCAGGATAGATCTACTCAGTTGGGCCCATTAGAAAGAGCTAGTCTCAATCACTGGACCTGGACCAGCTGAGTAGTCTGTCCTGCCCCATCCACCTGAGGACTGAGAAAGATCCAGTCTCTGAAACGTTGTGGTTTTTTGTCTTATACTCGTATATACCAGACGATGGATAAAGTCCAAAATAAGCCTACTAGTTCTCTACAGCAAACATCATTGTCAGAATCCTTTCAAGTCTACTAATGACAGCAGTTGAGCAATAACCTATCTGACTTGTATTTTGTAGGTAACTGGTTTGAATTTCAAGCAGGATAGCACCTGTTCTTTGGTCTCCTGTGATTTCTACCCGGTTCTTGCTACTTCACTGCACATCATTCACTTTGTATTTAGACAAACTAACTTGCACAATTCATATTTGCTTATTAAATAGCCTGCAAACTTAATGGCAGCACCAGAGTGGCCATATTCTGCTTTTGTAATTTGTAAAAAAAATGTAAAGTTGCCCCTATGTTTAACTAATTAAGCACTATACCATGAAGATGTATGAGGTAGTGGATGTATAGATCCACGTTTTCTTGACCCCTGCACTAGTTGGAAGTGAGGGCTCAGCTTTGTGCCTTGGCTGCTTTACCCACATTGAAAGAGCCCCTGGTACCCATTGGAAAGGAGAGTGGGTGAGCCCCAGAACTGTTGGGGTGACATGGAGAAGAGAAAATTGTTAACCCTACTGGGACTCAAACTCTGGCCCCTTCTGTCATCCAGCCTGTAGTCAGTCTCTATTCTGACTGTACTATCCCTACTTTTGTAATTTGTGTTTTTGCTTAATGTTTATATGTATAATACATTATGTTCGTTATGGTTAGGGGACACGTGGTAGTGTAGTTGGCTGAGACATTATGCTACAAGCCAGAAGGTCGTGGATTCAATTCCAGATGAGGCCTTTGGATTTTTCAGTTGACCTAAACCCTCCAGCTGCACAATGGCCATGAGGTTGACTCAGACTATAACAGAAATGAGTATCATGAATCTTCCTTGGTGTAAAGGGCTGCCAGCTGACATGTAAGGCTGACAACCTCACCACCATCTGTGAGCTGATTATCTAGAAAATGTACAAGCCTCAACATCTCACAACCCTGTGGGACTCCACGGCCTGTTACAGGGATACCTTGGTGTGTAAGGCTGACAACCTCACTGCCATCTGTTAGCCAATTGTCTAGAAAATGTGGGAACCTCAACATCACAACCCTATGGGCCTACACAGCCTGTTAGAGTGTTAGCTTTACTTTTTTCCTTTATTCCTTACGGTTGAATATAGTTTCCTTGTATCAAAATGCAAACCTCTTATGGTATGTCATTAAGAAATGTTACAGCCTTTAAAATGGTAAATCTGCATAAATAATGCAGTATTTTGTAAAGTTGGAAAGGACAGAAGTGAACCTGTAATATCATCTTTCACTTCTAGGATATTGTTTGTGTGGAATGTTATTTTGAATGTAACATGTTTCATTCTTAACCTGCTTTCCTTTTTTTGAAAAAAAAAATGAAAATAGGCTTATACAATCTCCATGCTGTGTGTCTTTGAATCCCCCCATTCACTTTTTTATGCCTGATGCTATTTTTTGACACTTGGTATGTATATCATGGCACCTGAGCCCATCTTAGCAGTGGACTTCATAAATGTCTCCCATTAGTCTGTTTGTATGTGTATCCCACCTGTCGTTGCTAGACAAAGGCTTGGTAAAGTGTAGCCCTCCTTTTCTTGCTAGGCAACAGCCCGGTAAATGTGTTCCCACAGCAGCGAATACATGCAACAATAGAAAATTGTTGGACACAGTGTCTCTGGGTCTGTCATTGTATTGCCCTATCATTGCTAGGTAACAGTTCAGTAAAGACGTCCCCATGGTAATGAAGAATTGTTGGCATCGTTTTCTGTGTGGCCCATACAATATCAAAGGGAAGTAGGCAATTAATTCTTCCCAGAACTTCTTATTTCATATTTAAGTGCTTCATTGGTGGTTTTTGAATTATGCTATTAACTAATTCCATGGAACTGAGTCCTTGAGAAGCTACCAGTTGTGCAGCTACTCAAGAATTTCCAAACATTTTATGAAACCTGAAGGTTCATACTGTGTTCACGGTATTAGTGTGACTTATGCTATTATCATCAAATAAATCTTCGAACAGCAATTTCAGGACCAGGACTTAAAGCAGGCCTGTGCAATCTCCATGCTGCCTTTGTGTCTGTGAATTCCCTCCTCTATTAATTTTTGAATGCCTGAACCACTCTTTATTAACCTTTTTTTTCCCCACTGCTTTCATAGTCTTCCAGTTTCAGGTGCATTGTTTTGATGTGCACCTATCTTTAATGTGTGATTTCTGTGACACATTCATCTCTTTTTCATCACCCCACATTCCAGTTAATAGCCATGGTTTCCTGCTGATTATGATGGTTCTTGCACACTGTACATACAGGTGGCAGAAGCCAATATGGAGTGGGATTCAAACCTGCAATCCCTGTGTTATGTTTCATATTTGTGGTGAATATAAGTGAGGAATCTCTTCTCTTGTTAGCATTATTGTCTTAAATGTTTGAAGGAGATGTTCGGAATCCTAAACTAGATTGCCTTGACCACGTTTGGTTTTGCTGCTGAAGTAATTTGTTACTGGGCATCTCACAGCGAATCTGCAGCTGATGCAACCTGCTTTAATGTATGGCACTTAGAAGGTCAACCTTATTGCTGCTAATGAAGACTGTTCCAGATGAAACATGTGCATTGTTAAATAAATGGTAGTTTGGCACTAAACCTGGTGGTCTACATCTTATAGTTGCTTAACATACCGAAGCTCTGTAAACTGAATCAGTATCTCATTTGTAATGACTGAAAATTATACTCTTCATTCATCCCATGATGTATGTGAAACAATCCCTCGACACAAGAGAATTTTTGTTCTTAGATTAAGAATTACACATCTCATTTGAGTCTACATAACCCCTATGCTTATTATAACTACCTTCAGGGAGCAGAGTCCTGTTTAAGAATGTGAAGTCACTCAGCAGGTCAAATTCGCCTTTTATGTAACCTAGAGGTTCATTACTGTGTTTACAAGAGTCCAGAGCTGGTCCCTATCCTGAGCCAAATAAGCACTCCCTCTCACCCTGTTTCATTCTGTCACATCACCCAGCACATTGATAGCTGTATGCAATTTGCATTTATTGATGCACATATGAGAAAGATTATCTGCAGATTATACCAAATTTTGGTGACAGTACCTTGTAGTGGTATTTTTTATCATATCCTCTAACTGAAATGAGTACCAGGAATCTCCCTTAGGGGTATAGGGCAGCTGGCACATAAGGGTGACAGCCTTACTGCCATCTGTGAGCCGATTGTCTAGAGAAAATGTGGGAGCCTCAACATCTCACAATCCTATGGGCCTTCACAGCCCGTTACAGGGATAGCTTTACCTTACATTAGGATTAAACAGTTTTCTTGCTGTGGGAATCTGAGATAGATAGATGTAGATGACTTACAGCACAGAGAAATTCTTCTTCATATAAAATTTCTTATTGTTTCTGTTGCAACTGAATTTGATAACTTCAGATTATGTGTATGCCCTTGTTTGGTACCTGTGTGGGGGAATCATTATTAGACACTTATTTTTTTTTATTGTTAGTGGGGTGGGACTAAGTCCCTTGTACTGTGGTCACTTCTGGCCTGTTGTACCAGCCCCAGATGATAGGTGAGGGTGATTGTGGAGCAATTGGTGAAATGAAGATTGGCAGGGGAAACCAAAGTACTCGGAGAAAACCTGCCCCAGCGCCACTTTGTCCACCACAAATCCCACTTGACTAGACGTGGTATGGAACCTGGGCCACCACGGTGAGAAGCCAGCAACTAACCACTTGAGCTATGGCATGGCCACTTATTAGACACCTAAGTAGGTATTTGCCATAAAGGGGTACTTAAGAGACTGGAATCTTCTATCATTTTGTACATATAGGATATAGAACTGTTGCAAAGCATTCAGTGTTGTACATAAACTTTATTCAAGTCACATACGATATGAATTACATCTCAACTACATGTCTTGATCTTTCTCAGGTGTCATCAGTTCTTGCAATTTTTATATATACATTTACTCCAGAGATGCATTACCATAAATGCATCTCAGATATCATAATAGTATTAACTAATTCAAGGAGAAGCCGCCACTCACTCAGCTACTCACAAATTTCCGTACTGTGTTCACAAGATCCCCATCCTGAGCCAGATTAATCCAGCCCATGCACCCCATCCATTTTCTCTGAAATCCGTCTTAATATGATGCTCCCATCTATGTCTGGCTCTTCTTAATGGCCTCTTTCCTTCTTGCTTTTCCACCAAAACCCAATGCACATCCTTCACACTCATGCGTGCTGCATGTTATGTCTATCTTATCCTCCTTGTCTTGATCATTCTGATTATATTTGTTGAAAGAGTACAAGTTATGAAGCTGCTCATACAGTTTTCTCCAGCCTCCTATTGAATAGATTGTTATGAAATGGTTTTTTGTAATCCAGCGAAGGGCAGCCAGTGATTCAGAGGAACATTTCTCCTCCAACTTCAGAGTCGAAGAGTAAAGAAAGTAAGAAACCAGCATGTAGCAGGCAGTCTCACTGGCTCACTCTCTTACCCTGAAGATGGAGGTGTTATTATTCTCTGAAACATCAGTTGACTTCCACCAGACTATGCAGCATTGTATTCTAGAAGAATTCTTTGTGTTTTGTAATTGTTAACTCATTACCGTAGAATAAATGTGTGAATATTTCATGTCCTGTATTTGTTGAAGTGGTAGTGGAAGTTATAATCTATTGTATGGTGTAATTTGTACTACATGTACATCAGCCAAAGATTTGTGACTTGTGTCCTGTTAGAAGACCTTGGTAGTATATAATTTCTTTGCTTTTTAATTGCAAAGCAATGTGTGAACTGTGTGTGTGAATTGTCTCTGTTTGTTCACAGTATGCTACTGCAGAAGAATATCACTGTGTATGGTATGGCCAGTGTAATAAAGATGATTTGGGGAGATATCAGAATTGTCCATATGAAGGTCCAGCAAAAGAGTTGGAAGCAGGTGGCCAGAAATTACTAAAAAAATGGTGCCCCCATTTTTCTGACAGTAAAGGTAAGTTGAGATTCATTCCACTTACAGAATTAAATATGATAGCATCAACTGGAGAAACAGGAACACTCCTTTATTGCAGAAGTGTATGTTCATCTGTATAGTCTGCCATCAGCACCCCAGTTTTCCCATTGTCTGAAGTATCAACAAAAAACAAACTCAGTGGGTTTAGTTCGCAAGCGAACTATACCAACTGAACAACCGCTACTTGTCAGTGAAGTTGGTGCCAACTTTTAGCAGATAGGTGTTGCGTGGTCAGTGCAACAAATCCCCACAGCCATTAATTTTGGTTTTCTAGACTGGAGACGCTGTCACCTTGAAATAGCTCCTCAGTTATCCTCACAAAGCTGAGTGGACCCTGTTCCAGACCCACTACTTTTCAGAAAATCTGGTAGTGCCAGGAATCGAACCCAAACCTCTCAATCTGTAGCCAGGAGCTCTGACCACTAGACCACAGAGGCAGTCATATCACAAATGTTATAGTTAAAAATGGGTGGACATATAGCACTGTCATGTGAAAGGTGAAAAGTGTGTTTAAAAAAGTTAGTTTACACCCTCATAAGCAAGAACAACTTGCCTGACCTAGGCAGAGATGGGAGAATATTACTACAATAAATATTGAACAGGTACAAGGATGTGAACTGGATCCAGCTGGCTCAAGTCTCTTGGGAATGTGGTAATGAACTTTTTGGTCCCATAAAAGGCAGATAATTTCTTGACCAGTTGAATGGCTGTCAGCTTCTCAAGGAAGATTTGCCTGCATTGTGTTGGGGAAGTGGGCTGTACGTGAAGTAGACAGGATAAAGTCAGTGTCAAATTTTTGTTTTGACAGTGATGGAGTTCGGGTTCACTAAGACAGAATTTCCCTCAGTTCTGAATCTCCAATTACCAAGGAGTCACTCAGGAGAACTAGATGAATAATGTTTAGTCACTTTGGTTTGTTTAAAACATGCTTTGTTGGTAACAGGTTGTATCTTATCGATGCTGTGACCAGTAATATGAATAAGTGATGTTTGATCAGCAAGTCTGTGTAATCGATAAGAATCAGCATGCTGCTGCTTCTGACTGTTCTGCAATTCCCCTTTTTTTTTACAGTTGTAACTTTCCAGGACATCTGAATTTTAGATTAATAACATTTGTTGGGTTGTTAGGTTTATTCTTTTGCCTGTATAACCCATAGTAGTAGATTTTGTACTGCGTGCCAAAAATGAAATCCCACATGAGTGGACAAGATTGCTTCACAGAACTGAATTACAGAATTTAATAAATGCAACCAGCTGGCAAAATTTGTATTACAAATACTGGAATAAATCGCTAGTGTTATTTGCCTAGAATGTGATATGTTCAGTGTAGGATAAAAAGTTTTGAATATAAGAAGTCAGAATATTATGGATTGTAAGCCAAATTTTTGAGCTGTCATTACAGTCTGAATATGAAGGCCTTTGAATTTATAAAGTACTTGGCAGCAAAGCACAGTCTGTAAGAGAAGTTGATGAAGACCTCTTATCTAAAATAACATTTCATGAAGCGGACGGTATGTTACAGCCTTCTTGACCATAATGGTGACAGAATTACACATTTTGTCAAAGATTTTTACAGTGCTTTAAAAAATACTGGAGCAGTTGTATTAAATTCTGACTTCTGCTAGATGTTTAAAAAATAGCATCAGCCAAAATGACGATGTCCAAGATGACTTCCAACAGATAAAAAAATTCTATATATGATAATCATCTTACTATAAGATTCTGTTCATAATCCTTGCCTCCGTAATCAGGGTAAGGACAGCTGTGTCATGGAGCTGAAGCCTGCTTTCATCCAACTCTGAAGTCACGAATGCATGGATCTTTACCTCCATTCCTACCATATACTTTTAGTATTTTATGCTAAGCACATAGATACCTGTGTGCAGCTTCTTTTTAATGATCCAGATTTGAGAAAGATTATCTACAGATTGTACCAGATATTGGTGACAGTACAGTGTGCTGGTATTTATTATCTTTTATTCTTATCAATAAATATTTTATCCACTACAGAAGTCTGAGATAGTCAGATGTAGGTGACTTATAGCACAGAAAATTTTGTAAACACCTTTTAGTTTCTTACTGAAGTGGAATTTCATAACTTTAGGTTATTTTCATACTTTTGTTGTACTTCAGTGGGGAATCTTCATTAGGTACTTTATTTAGTATTTACTGTAAATTGATATTGAAGATAACAGGAATTTTTCAAAATTTCAGTTATATGTATCCATATGTTGTGTTTTTATATTATACCTGCACAAAGTTCATGCATTTGAAGGTATCACCAGTAAAGCAACGAAAACTACTACAACAGCAGCAATATGTGTTAACATTGTACTGTAAGAAATATATTCAAGCACTGGTGCTCTCTGCCATCTAGGGGATGTCTACTCAATTACAGTGCAGTCGCATATTCCCACATGTACCGAGCTATTGAACAGACATCAAACGTAAATGAAATATCCCTTTTTAATGCCACCACCTAAGGTTCATTCGCTACTTTTTTATGTTCAGTGAGCTGTTTTCCAGAAGTTTTAATCTTTGCATGCAAAGGAAAAGAATACTCATACATGTATGGTTCCTCAATACAAGTGAATACCAACTTACATAAGTAAATGTTAATTGAGGACCCAGGGCACTGGTCTCTTTTAAAACATTTTGTATGTTCTAAAGGGGTTCCTAATTAAACATTTGTACAAAATTCTGGACTTAAAATCAATATGTTGAACGATAGCCATATATATGCTTGATTTTCCAGCTCTGTTGTTAAATTACAAAAGTGTTGGTTTTATTTCTAGTGCCTGTAGTGAAAACTTGCTGTGATACAAACCAGTTGAAAACAATGGATCAGAATATTCTGTTGGCAGCAGCTTTTCTTCAGCGATGCCCGTCGTGCTTACAGAATCTTGTCAAGCACATCTGTGATTTTACATGTGCAGATGATCAAAGCAGATTTATCAATGTGACAGAGATTGAGCATAGTGAAACTGAAGGTTGGTAACTTCTTTGCTTCATTCCCTTTGTATAGTTTATTAACCATGCCATACTATATATTTTTAAGAACACAAACATAAATTTGCCATTTTAATCTCTTCCTTACATTTTATTTTTAGTGCTTCACTTTCTGGGTTTTGCCCCCAACAGTTATTTGGCATATCTTATTTATCCCCAGAAAAGAATCAGTATTTTAATTTAATGGCCCTTGAAAGCTAGTGCTGCTGTGATAATATTAAAATATTTGCTTATCTGCTCAAAAACATCAGAGAAACTTTCTATATAATGGTGTACTTTAAAACATTTGGATGTGTGCTGTTAACACAATAATCTCAGTAAAACATCCAATGTGTATGCATCTTCAGCTGTTGTTTTTAATATAATTGTATGCATTTAGGCGTGCATCGATTATAAATCCAAATGATGTCTGTTGAAAATGAACAGTCCTCTGTATTTTCTTTTAAACAGATAAAGACTATATCAATAGTATAGAAGTATACATTCAAGATGAATATATGAATGGCACATTCAACTCTTGCAAACAAGTATCCGTGCCATCAACAAGTCGTCTGGCACTTGATATGATGTGTGGAGAATGGGGTGCAAGCCGCTGTTCACCCAAGAAGTGAGTGAAACTATGTGAAAATATTTTAAGGTTCTCATTCTCATATGACATTAAGAATGTAGTCCTGAAACGGGCATCTTTCATATTGAATCACTACGTTTGTTCCTTGAATTGGTGAAATATGGAATCCCGATTTTTTTTTTATGCTGATGTTACATAAGCAGATGTGGTGAGTGCAGTATCAGCTGGGGATATTGATTTTAGTACAGTAGTGGTCAGAGTGTTGCCACTCCTCCATTTACTTGCCAGGTTTGCTTAGCTAGGCATTTCCTCTGTACTGAGTTTCTTCTCCTCCTCCTCATTATTATTATTATTATTCATGTTGCTGTGTTTGCTGCTATTTGTCCTACCTTATATGAAGCCATCCAGCCTAGAAAACCGAAATTAACGTCCGTGGAGATTCGTTGTGCTGACCACACGATGCCCTCTATCCAGAAAAGTTGGCACTAAACTTTGCCAACAGGCAGCAGTCACTCAGTTGGTATAGTTCACTTGCAGACTAAAATCACGGGGTTTATATATATATATACAGTCAACTCTCGATTATCCGGGGGCGGATTAACCGGTTTGCGGCTTAACCGGGGCTTTTTTTTTTAAGTTTATATGTTGTTTAATATTCATTCACTTTTGTTTCACATGGTGAGTTTAACACTATTTTCGCACTAGTGTGAACCGAGCTCTGCATTANCGCATATTTCTTTACCATCTGAAAAGTACAGTGGTTTTAAGAGTTGTTTGAAATGTGTTCCGGTATATACAGAATTGTACAACTGATACCTATTTCTCATATGTGTAAACATGTCAGGGTGATGTTAAATTTGATTTATTGTCTTGAAATTGAAATTCAAGGTATGATCTGTAAATAGCTCTTTCATGTACATAACCTTCAGTAGGTTGGACTTCCACCAGGCTTTGTTCTCTAAGGTATTGTTTCTCCTACTTGCTGTTATGGCCCAAAATTTCATATCTACACATTTTGTTTTCCACTGCGCTTGGTAATATTCCCACTATTTGTTACTTATCAAAAGAATCTCAGTTTTATGTGAAGAAAAACTGAGCATGTTTTGTAATGGATTTGTCATGGATGTAACTTACACAGCTGCTTATGTCATGCAAATAATTGTTAGTTTGCTGTGTGCTATTATGTGTCCTTGTAAAATAAGCATTCCATGTATTGTAATTTCAGCATCCAGGCATGACATTTGTGTCATTAGGGCTTGAGCTTTGTGTATTTACCATGTCAATCTGGTTGCAGATTATATTTATTCAAGTCCAGTGAGCCTTATAAGTATCGTAGGGGAATGAAAAAGGTAAAAAGGTAAACCTGTCCCTGTAATAGGCTGTGAAGGCCCTAGGAGTGGGAGAGGTTACAGCTCCCACATCCTCTAGACAGTCGGCTCATAGGTGGCGATAAGGTTGTCAGCCTTACACGCTGGCCTCCCTTTTACCCCCCCCCCACACACACACACACAAGAAAATTCCTGGTACTCATTTCTGTTAGAGGCTGAGTTGACCCCAGAGCCATAGTGCGGCTAGAAGAATTAGATCAATTGAAAAATCCAGTGACCTCATCAGTATTTGATCCTGCCACCTTCCAGCTTTTAGCGTAGTGCTTCAAACGACTACGCTACTGCATGCCCCATAATAGGGGACTGGCACATTTATAGTTTCTGGCCATATTTTCATTTTATATAAGAATATCTGTGAAAGAAGATTGAACCAATGTTGTTTTTTGTATAATATGCCTTATAATAGGAAAATTAATGTATTGTTAAATTTATTGTATTCTGTTATTTTATTAGTCATTCTCTTAGTTTTATAGCTGTACTGTACTTTTATATTAATCAGTGCATGAGGCAAGATGACCTTTCAGTCATAAGGGCCCAGAATCATTCTGGTATTGTACATTTGCTTTAGAATTCTGTGAGGTTGGGTAGTACAGTTGGTATAGCAACTGGCTACAGGTTGGACAGTCAAAGGGTCAGAGTTAAGTCCCAGTAGGTTCAAGATTTTTCTCCACTCTACATCATCCAGGCCAGTTCTGGGGCCCACCCAACTTCCCTTTCAGTGGGCACAGGGAGTTGCTGCTCTAGCAGTAATATGGTCAGGGTGTGCAGCTGACCACTCACCTCCAGCTAGTTCTGAGGTCAAGAATACATTTACTCCCTCATATGTCTTCATGGCATAGTGCTTAATTAGTTAAGCACAGGAACAACTTTACCTTTTTATGAAAAAAATATAATTTTAGATTATGTTATATAATAAAGATGTATCAAAGAACAGCCCACTGTTTTGCTTACTTTTAAGTCAGCAGGCAACTTTGCAATCCACCATCCTAATTGTCATAACTGTAATTTTATCAAAAGGAAATGAGGGAAAGTTTGTGTTACATTAATGATGTTTAAAGCAGTCGGGTTCTCTTTCCCTTCAGTGTGTCAAATTTGGTATTTTGATGAGTCATACCTCCATTTCTTTCTAGCTTCAGGAATTTGCAGACACTGATTATTTTTCTTAGATTCTGTTACTAGGACAGACTGAAATATGAGGCAACGAGCATCTTTGAGGTGACAGGTATCAAGAACATTGCCAAATACTTGTTTACTTTATCAGTTCATGTGGGTTCATGACAAAGCAGTTTCTGTATGAAATATGTACATAGATATTTCTTAAGAGCTCTTATAAAGTATTGAATTATTACTCTGTATTTTGTAGATCAGAAATTCAGTTGTGTAACAAGTATGAAAGTTCACTCACCTTTAATGTGATTATTTTAAAGTTTTTTTTCTCCTCCCAAGTACTAGTGTATTATCTTTAGATAAAATAAAAGCAATGTTTAACAGTGTAGATATTCAGGCATTGAGTTGAAGGACCTGTGCACCCATTTATTTAAAATGTGAGTATTGTAAAACCTCCATGAACTTGCAGGTAATACTATCTTCTGGGATACAATGCCATGTAGTTCATCAAAAGTCAACTGACATTTCAGAGGAACATGTCGCCTCCATCTTCAAAGTCGAAGAATAAGCCAAGCAAGATACCAGCAGAGCCTGCCCCTTGCTTTCACGCTGTTATCTTGCTCAGCTTATTCAGTCCTGAAGATGTTGACAATATGTTTGTCCAAAATGTCGGTTGACTTTCGAGTAACTACACAGCGTTATAGCCCAGAAGAATAAATTGTTCATCCTCTGCCAACTGTGTCACTCCTGATCACACACTACTAACTAACTCTGAATAGTGTTCACTGCTCCTTATTTAGCCTCGGCACAGACAAGACAGAAAACAGTTACGTGATAGGTACCGCTGTTGCCTGACGCCGTGTTTGCTGATAGCCTAGCAGTGCTGTTGGGAGTTGTTTACTGCTGCATAGCAACCACAGCATCCCTTGGTCACGCCACCACAGGAGGGGGCGGGGTGTTGACTGGCCTATTACCGTAGCAGCAGCAACGCTCTGAAGGTGTTACATCACCGCTGGCAGGGGGGGGTGTCCTGCATAGCGCAAATACGTCACAATATATAAAACATGTTACATTGTGAATTCCTGCATGTTTTGCTCATATTTTAACTGACTGATTTGTCAGGAATGAACAGAATATTATATAACAGTTCCATATCAGATAATGATTTTATGCTAATGTTCAAATAGTGAGAAAAATGTTAAAAATTGTTTCTAAAACTCTTCATTTAATAAAGTTATATACAGAACCTTCCACTGAACCTCTCAGGTCAAATAAACATTTTGTACCCCACTATGTTTCTGTGCACTCTTAATTAATGTAATTTCTCCCCTATTTTTTCTGTTTTTGATATTTTTTCTGAGCTGTTATATTTGTCTTTCCTTTAGGTGGTTCACATACATGGGAGAAGCTGAGGACAATCCATTTGTCCCATTTCAGATTACTTATATTGAGACAGACAGACCAATAGGAAAGTATGTTCCAATGAACCCATCAGTAACACCCTGTAGCAAAGGAATAAGTGTAAGTACTGAAGTTACTTATTTTCATTAAGGTACTTCAAGCAGGCTTAAAAAAATTTACAGTGTGAAGATGATCAATCACATGTCCATGTAGTACTGAGACTAGGCATGCAGTGAGAATTGTAACCATGTATATGCATTCTTGACATAGTGCTTAGGCAGAAGAAAACTTCTTCCTTACCTTCCAGTTACCACATCCAATAGTTAGGACACAAGATGGAAATGAGATTGAAACAACAGTTGTTGTTTTATTCAGTTGCTATAAAATAATTGTTTTACTAAAAGTTTAATCATCAGTGATTATGTAGAAATTATCCTCTTATTTACCAACATGGTAACTTCAGATGCATTGATTTCCTTGCAAATACCAATAAATCAAGAAATATAGTTTTATCAGATCGAACATCATCATATTTTCTGTATTTACAACTGAAATCCTTCAAAAACATGCATAAAACTTGCTGTAGAAAGGAGAGGATGTCCAGATTGTAGACCTTGGAGGAGGGATGAAGAAGTTTATGATCCACTAATATACAGTTCCGGTTTGGTTGTCACCTATCTTGGTTTTTATAATGTTTTTTCATAATACAAAGACTATACACAGATCTGGGATGCTTTTTAAAAGGTCTGTGTTTCCTAAATATGTGTTCTTATATGCAATGTAAATTATTTGGAAAGAAATATTTGCTAGGATTCCAAAGTAACAATGTTTCTTCTTTAGAGCTGTATTGCTAAGACCTGTTTCCTGATTCACCTATAGTTATCAGTGTTATATACACTAGCGCGAACTGTCATGACACCCAGCAGGAACATGATGTCATTTCAGACTGTTCATCTTGAAGGACGTTTTGTTAGGAGTACCAACATGGTACCAACATTTTTTATGGTAAATGGTCCATGTAGGTAAACATTGCAGTGCTGTTGCCATAAAAGCAGTAGTCTTATCTAAATTCTGGTCATAATGTAAGCAACCATTACTCTCTCCAGTGAGAAGTTCTTTTGTTTGCATGTACATTTCTTGGACAATTAGCTGTGTCAGTATGGACATGGTTCTTTACATGAGAAGACTTCATTACATTCAGTTACCATGAGAGCTTCAGACTGTGGAAAGTATTTTGTTGACTGTATGTATTCTTCTTCCAGCCTGAGGTACCTGCCTGCAGCTGCGTGGATTGTGAAGCAAGTTGCCCTGTTCCGCCACCAGAACCACAACCGTCAAAGCCATTTATAGTATTTGGCATGGATGGTGTTCCAGTCATCATGGGCATAATTTGGGCTGTGGGGTCACTAGTGTTCCTCATAGCTGTATTTTGCTGTTCTGATAGCAAGAACACCATAGGTAATATTTGTTTTCCCAGATTATCCTGAAAGTATCCTTTCAGTTTTGTTGAAGTAGTGTCTAGAGAATGAAACATTTGTTGTAATTAACAGGGAAGGTTTATTTGATTCTGCAACACTAATGAGCAAGTGATTTTAATCCAGTATGGGCCTCTCTGGTAATTGTGTGCAGTATATTGGATGTACAACTGTCATATTGTTTAGGAGTTTACATTATTCCTACCGAGTTCTATGAACAAATGATGCAAGCAACTGAATGACACTTGAGTTTAATGTAGTGTGAGTGTCATATCAGACTGCAATAACTGAGAAACCACACAAGGCACTATCTGGAGGATATATTGTCAAGACAGTATCCTGCATGTGGAGAGCACGTGGAAACATACTACAAATCGCACATGTTTACCCCCACCTCCCCAGATATACAGAATTGAACCTGGAGATGAGAAATGAGAGAAAGCAAATTATTTAAGCCACGACCTTTAAATTATAAATGCCATTTGCACCCACAGGATGAATTACACAGTAAATGCTTTTGTAGTTCTGTATAAAAACAGTATTCAGAAAGAGAGTTCCATGGATGCATAAAGGGAATAAACTGGTATGTTTCACTGATATATTGGGTTTTTGGACTTTATCCATCGTCCTGGTTTTTAAGATAACTAATAAAAACACAACGTTTCAGAAACTGGATCTGTTTCCGTCCTCGGGTGAAGGAAAACACCTATTCTGTTGGGTCCGTTAGAAAGAGCTAGCCTCAATCACTGGACCAGACCACTGAGGACGGAAACAGATCCAGTTTCCGAAACATCGTGTTTTTATTAGTTATCTTAAAAACCAGGATGATGGATAAAGTCCAAAAACCCAATATATCAGTGTGTTATACACCATCGTCAAAATCCTATAGTAACTACTGGTATGTTTGTTTATACTTTATTTCTAATTATATTCTCTTGCTTTGATTTGCATTCCACATTTGTCATTAATTAGGTATAGTCTTGACATGTATAGGGGAAAGCGCAATAAATTGTAGGCTTTAATCGTTTTTCTTATATTTGTGAATGTAGGATGTAACATATTTCTTTGTAGTGGATGAGGCAATGTAGGATAATGGAAGTGCGCAAATAAACACAAAATTACATATAGGTAACTTTGATCACACGTTGCTCTGGTGACATTTTTCAGAATACAGCCTGCGCTACAAAAGGTTATGTAATTCAGGCTGTATATTTGTTTAATTTGACCTTGGACTGCTGTGGTTTTGTAATTTCCTTTGACTGATAGTGAGAACGTCTCCATTGCCAACAAGTGGCTACCCGCTCTTGTGATCAAGATCAGGTCCTCTTCAAGCATTCAGTATAATTGAATAAGGCTGGTGAGGCTGGGATGTTCTGTGTGTACAATTTGCTGTCATTTAGAGGGTCACATGTCAAATCCTTCAAGAAGCTTGCCTTTTAAAACGAAGGAGAGAAGTGCCAGTGAAATTGATTATTTCATTGTGTTCATTGTCAGTGTAACAGTAATCATAAAGTTGTTTTCTCTTCCAGTTTATTGATATATTGCACCAATTATATATTATAAAGTACCTATTTATTTAATGCTAATTTGAAACAACACGTTCTTGGCCAGTGTACATCTATAAGTGTGTTAAATTGTGGTTCTGGGAACTTTATTAAAGTTGTAAGTTATCGATCTTTCATGTAAACTCAGCACTGTTAGTAAAAAACACAGTGCTTGGCTCTTCATAAGCCAGTAGTTACTTTTGGTCCTTTTAATTTCTTGAACCAAAAAATTGTGAAGTTAGGGATATGACATTATGCAGAAATATTGGTAATGATCTATGAATGAGACTATGGCATCATGTCCAAGAGATGATCTTGAAGATTAACTGTTTGATAACCTGAAATAATAATGCTATTGTAGAGCAGTTCATAGGTGAGGCAGTTCTACCCAGTCAAACTGCTCCACACGTGATGATCCTAAAATTAAGGGTGCTGTTCTTTTCTATGTGTGAGGCTTCAGTTTTAACATCTGTGATTACAATAATAATTCCTCAGATATTATTTTTGAGGCATTGGAGTTAATAATAAGCTCTGTTGTGTACCTACACATCTTTCTGAATAGAAGCTTATAGAAAACTATAGTTGGCATAAATTGGGCCATGTTTCAGACCAAGGTATATTGTGTCAAAAATGGTACTGTGAAAGCTCTTTTTGGAAGGGGGTTTTTCAGATTATGTTTGTATATTCTGATTTCTCCAGTACAAAAGAAAAGGTTTGAATGCTCTGTTTTTACAAGGGATGTTTTGTTGAAGTTCTCATATTATTGCCAATATGAGGTATTCTGCCAGAAGAGGTCCCTGCATATAAATGTGATACAGCTTTAAATATATAATGCAAGTTACCATTGACCATAAAGCCTTTTTCGCTTATGTCGGTATATTTACGGTATAGGTATCATATTGCATGGCAAGATCAAGAATTTTTCCAATTTTGTGGGCATCACGTGCTTAATCTGAAAAAGTCTCGTGCATCGTCGGTGTTGTCAAATCATTCTATAATATCTCAGACATCAGCTTTTAATTTTGGTGTTTTGATGCAGTATAGTCTGAACTTGGTCTTAATTTCTCCAGGCATATTAATTAGTCCTTTGTGGAGTAGGTACATATTAATTGCATAAACTGCCCACATTTTACCCTTCAGTACAGTATTGAACATCTTTTAGAAATTGTTAACAATAGTGATGCACTTGTCTGCATGAGTACGCACATGATGTTTCTGTGGCTTAACTCGGGCATGTAGGTATATATAACTGGTTTTAAATCTTTATTAGGGTAAAGGAAGGCTGTGGACTTTCTTACCTATTTTTAACACTCCATTCCTCAGTTTTCTTATATTTTCATGATAATGGGCTGTGCATATGTTGCATATTGTGTTTTCCATTTGAATGGAAGCAACATGCTTGTATACTTACACCATAGTGAACTGATGTTTCTTTTCTGATGTGGTGGTTGTTGTGTAACATAGCTGATACTGTGCACTTTGTGTTTATATCTTGATGAATGGGTTATATAATAGTAATATGTCTCATTTTAGAGTGTGGTAATTCAAATCTTAGTCTGAGACTTGATGTGCGACTCCAGTTTGTTTTCCCCAGCCCCTCTAGGTGACTGTATGGATAGTATCTTAAGGTTGCAGTCACTTTCCTTCCATGCTCCCATTTCTTTATTTTCTTTCATTTCAGTTGCTCTTGCAGTGTAATATCAACAAAGAAACAAACAGTATTAAATGTTTAAATTTTGTAAAATTCTGCAAGTCACATAAATTCATACCAATGGATTTCATCAGATTTTCTTAAAATTATGAATATTCACATGGGGATCTTGTAAAGAAGAGTGGCATTCCCATAATGGTATAAACTCTGAACAATCAGTTATTTTAATATTTTGACCAAAGCCACCAAAAAATGCAAAGAAAAATTGCTAAAGTGATAAAGCTTTTCCTGAAGGAACAGAGGGGAGGATTTGTGTATCAGTACGAGGCTTGGGTGAATCTGGCATGACTTGTGGATTTTATAAATATTTAAAGTAAGTTTTGGGGCCATCTTGGCTTCAAACTTGATCAATTGGTTAGACAGGAATATGTTAGAAGCACAAGGTGAAAGGAAATAAACCCACTGGTATGAGATTTTAGAAGTTTATATGAATACAGTTCAATTGTTTCTGAGTGTATTAGTCCATCTGACCACCACTCGTGTACCAAAAATTTCTTTATCTCCAGACAGTTTCATTTTTTCCAAAATTTGAGAAATATATTTTAGAAATTGAGTTACTGGGAATGAACATCACAGTGATGATAAATACTAGAATAAGAAATGCTTGTTTTTCTCCCTGTTTTTTTTTTACATCGGCTTTTTATCCAGACAGTAATTAGGATAGTAGAAGGCTTTGATCTGTCAAGTACATATGAAAAAGTATGTGCAGTATCTTTGCACCTATTTTTTAAACATGTATTATGACACCACATTATTAAGGTGCCTTCTTCTGTGGTCATAGACTTGTTTCCATGAAGTGGCATGTTGAATTTGAATGGGTACCATATGGAACAAGGGGCACACGGTAGCGTAGTTGGTTGAGGCACTATGCTACAAGCTGGAAGGTCACAGGTTCAAGTCCCGATGAGGTCATTAGATTTTTTTCAGTTGACCTAATCCTTCCAGCCCCACGGTGGCCCTGGGGTCAACTCAGCCTCTAACAGAAATGAGTACCTGGAATATTCTTGGGGGTAAAGGGCGGCTGGCGCGTAGGGCTGACAACTTTGCCGCCATCTATGAGCTGATTGTCTAGAAAATGTGAGAACCTCAACATCTCACAACCCTATGGGCTTCCACGGCCTGTTACAGGGACCCCTTTACTTTTACCATATGGAACAGTAGGTAGTAGGATGTGCATTTCATTTCTGTGATGGAAGTAACTTAATGCTTCTCCTGCAGCATCATTCAGAATTGTAGTGATCATATTTCATTCATAGACTTCATATCAGAATTCGTATTGATTTGCAATATGAGCTTTTTTCTATGATGGCTGATAACTCTTTGTTGAGTATTCTTGCCTATTTTATCCTTGTAGTTTTTATCTTAAATTTTCAAAACATTCACATAACTGATTCAGAAAATTTCCAAGCTTTTGCTGTTTCCTGTCATTTTAGAATATTGAATTGTAAGGAAAAGATAGAAGTATGCTCTTCAGGCATGAGGGAGGCTATGTTAGGCAGTTTTTGCAAAACAAGCTGCACATAAAGTAATATTATGAAAATATATTCTTCGGATGCATTCTTTGCATTTTACATTCTGTAGTGTGACAGATAAAATGTGTTGCATATTATTTAGTCCCTCATATTTAAATCTTGTATAGGATATCTATGTTTAATATATTGAATTTATTTACTTTTTGGTTTCTGTAGCCTATCACCATTTATGTAATGTAACATTTAAATCTTGATTGATGCACATTGTATAAAGAATGCATAAAAATGTGTATCAGATGAACCAGTTGATTTTATCTGAAATTAATTCTGGGTCTCTAGATTAAAGTAACACTAATTAGATTGACAAATTGTACCACCAGCAGTGATGCTTTAACAATAAAAGATAGAAGCTGTGGTAATAAACGTTTCCAGTTGTGTTCCCTCAGTTTAAAGTATCTTGACATGTTTGTATAGACAGATTTAAATTCAGGAATAAACATAAAATGATAGGTTTCTTTCTGTAGAGCGTGTCAAATGGTTGGAAGGCTGGAGATCTGATCATCTGATCTTATACATCAAGTCTCTCTTACAGCAAGCCTGGTACGGGGTGATGGAGCAGATGAGGTTAGACACATCGTTGGACAACGGCTGGCTGGTATTAACCAATCTCGGATTGCCCTCGGTGCAGATGAGGAAGAAAGTCCCTTGCAATCAAAAAGATCTAGTATGTTAATTTTTTAGGGGTTATGAAAGTTGTAAATCTTGCCATCCATACTTTATTGTGTTTATGAATGCTGAGCAAGCGTTCATAAGATTCTTGCTTTGATTTTGCATATTACAGGGTGAGTCAAATAAAATATTAACGCTATAAGGGGTACCTACATAATGTGTTTTGTATGACTCTGGGAAATTCATACATTGTATGCATCCAAGTCCTAACTTTTCAGTTTTTCTCCAAAGAGCTTTGGTGTCATTTTAAATGGTTATTCAAAATTCCTATAATGGGAAACTCCATATAAGTGTTAAAATTAGTCTTTGAGTCACTCTGTATTATAACCTCTTCAAGTGTTTAACACTTTTTTCTGAATTTTTGTGTGTTGAAAGTTTAATATTGTGTTTATGCATGAAATCAATGTGATGTACTAATGGTGGACAGTGTTAGTTTTGTTTATGGTGAGAAAGTTGAATGAACGAACTATTTTTGAAATGAATTGATAACTGCATGCTGTTGAACTCTTGGTGCCTGTGGCTCCATCTTTCTTTCTAATTTGGCACTGAACCAAATTCTCTGTCTGTCTCTAAATGTGCTCAGTTCCAAGGTGTTTTGATGTGACGTAAACAAGTGCACTAGTTTATATGACTGTCTCAGTGACAAGAACAGTACTCATATTGTGTCTGTTTTGCAAATCTTGAATAATGTGCCATTGAAGAATAATGCTTTCTACTCTATGACAATCTGAAATTAATTATTATTATTGTTGTTGTCTTTCAGGATGTGATGCAGTGTAATTGGGAGATGGTTACCAACATTTCAGAGGAATCTCTGTATGTTTATCCTGAACATAAAGGCTTCACAGTCCTCTGACATATTTGTACCCATCTACTGAACAACTTAGCATCACATCCCATAAGATTATGTGATCTTCATGTCCACCGCCATGATAACTTAAGATCTGCAGTGCTTTTATTGCTTTACTGGCTAGTAGTGCATTTCCCCCACCCTTCATCAAGAAGGAAAATCAGAATTGTGAAATGGAACTTTGCACCAGTGTGCATTATCATATGCTATCGGTGTGCATTATTTCGCTGTCTTAGTGAATACATATTGTTGCATGTTGCCTGTGTAACGCAACAATAATTCACGCGGGTTTTGGATTGGACTACTATGTTTATTGGATGCTCACTGTTACACTTGTAATCACACTTACTGCCAAACTGAAGACTGACTACTCTTTTAAGGTCAAATGCAAACTGAACTCGTCTCTCGTCGCAGTTTGGACACTTAAATTTCCACATGGACTAGATAGGGAATACCATCTCGACGGGTTCATTCCGCTCGCTGCTATCGAAACGTTGCTTCAACATTTTGTCTGTAATGGTGGAAACTCCACTGTTAGGAATTGCTAGCGTTCTGCTTCATAGCCGCTGTCATGGGAACATTGATCTCTGTGTAGGAAATCAACTCTGGTCTCAACCATTCCTAACTGCTGTCATGGGAACGTTGGTCATTGACTAGGAAATCAACTCTGATCTCAACCATTCCTAGCCACTGTTGTGGGAACGTTGGTCATTGCCTAGGAAATCAACTCTGATCTCAACCATTCTAGCGATCTGGTGGCATGCCACATTGCTCCCTTCTTAAGGTTGTTCGTCCCAAACAGCCTAATGGTGTTTCCTTTCCTTCATTTCCGAGGATTCCTGCTAGCAGCGTCTGCATTCGGTCTTGCAGTTTTTCGCGTATCTTTTGCGGTGTTCATTCTAACGCATTCACCCTCTCCTTCAGGGGTGCTCGTCCCAAGCAGCTCTATGGTATGGTTCGGTCATTTCAGTTTCATCCAACGTTTTCTCTCTCACATTTTCACTCTCGCTGGGGAGACAGGTGCTTCTACATTACCGGCTCCTCCTCTATGCACTGTTTCATTTTTTTTGTGTCTCTTTGGCAAATGTCGACCCCTCCACGAGTTCCAAATCTTGATGTTTTATGATGGGATAAGAGATTCGGTAATTTGCTTCATGGTCTCATGCCCGGTCATCTTTCTGTAGATCTTGTTCCTCTGTTTCATTGCTGTTGCACCCATTTTCTCTTCCCGAGCATCCATCCTTTCGAGGTTCCTAACACACTTTGTCCCTGGTGCGGTTCCTTCCAAAGAAGTTTTCCTTGCACCGTGCCAATTTTGAATGGCAGGTCATCCCTCTTCAGACGACAACCAGTCCTTCCTGGAAGATGTCTCTCCCTCATCATGCCACTGCTGCACGACAGTACACGTTCCTGTCGTTTTGCTTTATCTGCTGTGCCACTTTCGCACAGTAGCTCATCCCTCTGTGGGCGACAGCCAGTCATTTTCGGCACCCATCCTGATTCTGGGCCCGTTTCTTTTTCTTCTGGCGGTTTCAGTCCCTTCGCTTCTTCTTCGGTCCTATGACCGGCATCATTTTCACGTCTTTTTTAGGGACATCTTGTGCCACCTCAGGTTTCCTGTTCCCTGAGGTCGGCTCTTTCTCCAGATGTGCCTCCATCATTTCTCGGCAGGCCATCGTCTCTTCGTCTCCTTCGGTTTCGATTTTGGCCACCATCTCCTTGTGGCTGGTGTCCATCCTTTCTTGCATGACGGCCATCTCTTCTCACCAGGCTTTCCACTCTTCTTGGTCAGTCCTATCATCGTCCATTTATGCTATCATTCCTTCTTGGCTGACTCTCACTTCCTCTTGGTCGGCCTTCCTGTCTTCTTGCATGGCCTTCAGCATTTCCAGTATTTGTTCCATGTCTTCAGTCTAATCCAATCACTTCTTACGACAGCTGTGACATGCTTCCTTGTGATCTTAGCCCATTAACTTTTTCCCTATCCGAGCCGTACCACTTCTAACACCAGTTGCGTGTTGCCTATGTAACGCGACAATAATTCACGCGGGTTTTGGATTTGACTACTATGTTTATTTGACGCTCACTTTTACACTTACAGGTGCAATTATTCACAGTCACAATTACTGCCAAACTGAAGACTGACTACTCTTCTAAGGTCATATGCAAACTGAACTGGTCTCATGTGGCAGTTCGGACTCTTGTAACTTCCACGCAGACTCAATAGGGAATACCATCTTGAAGGGTTCATTCCTCTTGCTGCTATCAAAACGTTGCTTCAACAATTTATGTGTAACGGTGGAAACTCCACTGTTAGGAATTGCTAGTGTGCTTCGTAGCCACTGCCGTGGTAACATCGGTCATTATGTCAAGCATTCGTAGCCACTCTCATGGGAATGTTAGTCATTGCCTAGGAAATCAGCTCTTCTCCTCAACCATTCCAGCTTTCTGGTGGAATGCCACAATATATTGGGTGTAAAAGTAAAAAGTAACATAAAGCTATCCCTGTAACAGGCCGTGAAGGCCCATAGGGTTGTGAGACGTTGGGGGTCCCACATTATCTAGACAGCTCAAACATGCTGGCAAGGTTGTCAGCCTTATGAGCTGGCCGTGCTTTACTCCCCAGGAAAATTATTTAATTAATTCCTGGTCCTCATTTCTGTTAGCGGCTGAGTCGACCCCAGGGCAATAGTGCAGCCGGAAGGATTAGGTCAGTTGGAAAAAATCCAATGACCTCATCAGGACTTGAACCTGCAACCTTCCAGCTTGTAGCATAGTGCCTCAACCAACTACGCTACCGCGTAATTGTTAAGTGATGGCCATTGATATATAAGTGAAAGTGTAGCATAACGGGGAATAGTGGAATTAGCATTCTGATTGCTCCTTTTCCTCAGGGGGCTACGTTTGTCTAATTCATGGGATTATTTTTTAGTATCTTGCCTTATTTACTACACATGTTATGAAACAACAGTTTAATTGTGTCTGTGTACCTCTTGATGTTTCTGTTTGAAATCATATTGTAGATTTTGCAAGCATGGTATGTATTATACTATACTATATATTCAGAAAAAAAGATTTTTCCTTATATGCTTTTTGTCTTCTGGTTTTGAAGATCAAGTGTGAAAGCATGCCACTTTCTGTTTTAGTGTGCTTTTGCATTTAGAGCAGAAAATTGTATACTTTTGCTACTGGAAAAAGAATATTAATCTTTTAAAAATTAAACATTCTGATTTTAATCAAGTTTTAATTCAAGCAGTCGTGGGTTCGATTCCCAGTTTTTAAATTGACCTAATCAGTCCAGCTGTACTATGGCCCTGTGGTCAACTCAGCTTCCTAAGGCTAGGGACCCACTGACGTGACAAGCCGCGCGCAGTTTGTCGAGTGTTGTCACTCGAAGCCGTTATTTGTATTGCTTTTATGAGCCGCGCACGGTTAAGTTTTGGAACACAGCACACAGGCGGCAGAGCTGTCGCACGCTTAATATGTACAACTAACGGACACGCAACAAAGAGCGGCTAGCCGCTCGCGACTAATCGTGTCAGTGGATTTTCAGCCTAGCAGATATGAGTAGAAGGGATCTTCCCAGAGTAAAGGGTGGACAGTTTGCAAGGCTGACAACCTCACTGCCACATGTGAGTTGATTGTCTAGAAAATGTAGGAGTCTCAACATATCACAACCCTATTGGCCTCCACGGCCTGTTACAAGGATAGCTTTATATATATATATATAATTTTTTTTTTGTAATATACAAATGGAAAGTTGTTCATGATATTTCGAACAAGTTTGCATAGATTGGAGGGTATTGAATTCTAAGTTAATAAGGTGGTAGGCTGTCGGCTGGATTGATCTGGCTCTGGATAGGGAACAGTGGTGTACTTTTATGAATATGTTAAAGAACCTTCAGGTTCCATAGAAGGCAGTGAATGTGATGACCAACTGAGCAACTATTAGCTTCTCAAGGAGTCTGTTCCATGAAGTTAGTGGTTTTATGATATCAGTTCGGCAGCAATTTTCAAAGCTTCTTGTGGAATATCAAGTGAATTTTAAGTTATCCAATTTATTCAAGGGCCTGTTTTGTTGAAAATTTAATCAGAAGTGGGAATGTAAGAAAAATTATCCCTCATTTGATGAATTGTCAGATAGTTGTCTGTATATTTGTGATTACCTTTATCACACGTTTATTCTGATGGCAGTGATTGACAGTAGGTCAGTGTTTGCACCATAAAATATTCACATCCATTATGATGAAATCATGTATGAACTGCTTTTAAATTCTCTGCTCTGTGCGATATCAGGCTTGTATGTGTCAAGACCTCTGATCTGTTATGCAATTGATTTAGTTAGTGACTTCCATGTGATCGAAATGCAATGAATTGGATCATGGATACTAACTGCAAAAATTCTTCCAGTCTTTAATTGTATTTATATGTGCCCTTTTAGTAAAGATCTATAGTCTGCTTAGTAGATTTATTGCATAATAGTGCCTATGTCTGCCAATTTATCTTTTATGAACTCTTGTTGCTCTGACTTCAGTGTAATTGCCACAAGTTTTATTTGTGTTTTTCATACTGGCCCATATTGCTGCTAAATAATTAGAGGTATGCATGTTACTTTTGTAACATTTTTTATAACATGTAAAAACCCCAAAATTAGGAAGATACATTAAAATATAAACCATATTCCATAACATTTCTCCTATCTGAAAGTGGAAACATTTTGAATTTTTGTGGCCGTAAGTAATGAATTTTCTGAACTTCAGAGAAGAAGCGTTTATCTTCAGGGATAGAATGCTGTTTAGTAAATTTTAATCCAAGAGAGAAAAATGGCACTTCCTCCTTCATGGTTGAAGAGTAAAGCTAGCAAGAAATGAATGTGAAGTTGGTAGAAGGCTCTGCAAGTTGATGGCAACATGTTCCTCCGTAATGGTTATTGACTTTCAAGAGAATGTACAGCATTGTATCCCAGAAGATATGACCATCCATAACCACCACTATTGAAAGAAGATAAATGGTAGAAATATTTGTCCTCTTCCATGTGTCTACTGCAAAATCTACCCCAGAAGTTCAGATTTTAAATGTAACTTAACAGTTGTCCCTTACTCTGTGTTCTGCTGATATCGAAATTATTTTCCTCTCCTCAGAAGATTGATATGTATTGAACCCATGCAGCATTGCTCAGCATACTCTTTTTAATTTTTTTAGATTCATTTGCTATAAGAACATTAGTATCATGTTTTGATCAGTTCGTAGTGCCCGTAGATAAATTCATATATTTAAATGTTTTTGTACCAGGTGTGAATACCTTCAGCCTGTGAAGTAGTTCTGACTTTCAAGCAACGTATTGCATTGCAAAGAATTTTTGTATCTGAAGTCATATACATGTAAACAGTATAGGTGTGTTAGTCACTGATCTGTATAGTTTTTAATAGAATAATTTCAGCAGAGATGCAAAAGAACTTCTTTCATCTTTCTTTTGTTGGAACATGAAAAGGAATATCTAGACATGGAGGATAATATTAAGAAGGGTCATAAAGAAGTGGGAGTATAAACTAGATATAACAGGCTGAAGGTGGAGTCCAGTAACAGACTTGTGAACATGGTAATGAACCACTGCTGTGCCATAAGGTGTGGGCAACTTGAATCGCTTAAGCAGCTATGATTGAGAAAGAGTCCCTGATCTATAGAGTTTATTACTATATTTGTACTGGCACATAGAACAGTTATTTTACATAATATGGGCCACATACCAAAACTTATTTCACACCTGCTACAGAGCAGTTGTTTGTAAGTGGAAATAGCCTTTCATTGCACTGAAATGAGCACAAGTTCATTTGACTACTGAATCTTGCCAGATAGTTTTTGAGCTCCCTGTTATGTTTGCTGTGAGAATTTACCTTTAAATTCCACATTGTTAACCATAACCACTTGATTATTTTTCTCCAGGTGTGATTAGTCCTAATGAAGAGGCTTTACCAAAACATGTGGACCAGGGTTCACCCTCATTTCTAGAAAAGTTAGGGGCCGGAACAGATGCTTTGTTGGGAGACTTTTTTTGGTGGTGCGGCACAGGTAAGTAAATTTCCGTGAAAAGTATGAGCTTTCAAAATATATGTGATTGCCTTAATACATGGCATTCGCGAGTTATAAAGGAGCCAACTTTCTAGACATTTTGAAGAAGTAATAGAATTCCTTTGGTGAGTCAGGGTAGCACAGTCAGTATAGTGACTGCCTATGGACTTGTGGGAACTGCCCACATTCAAGCAAGTGTGACAACGCGAGCTTCATTGTTAAACTGGATGACCAAGGGGGTCAGAGTTTGCGTCCTGGTAGGGCTAGAATTTTCTCTTCTCCATATCGTCCAGCCCGGCTCTGGGGCCCACCCAATCTATCCAAGTGGTACCAGGGGCTCTTTCCCTGGGGGTAAAGTGGCAGGGGCGTGGAGTTGGCCACTCACCTCCGGCTATTGCCAAGGTAAAGAAAATGTGTCTCTATACATCCACTCCCCCAAAAGCCTTCATGGCATAATGCTTAATTAGTTAAGCACAAGGACAACATTGCCTTTTAATAGAAATCCTTTTCTATGAAAGAGCATCCAATGTGTTGCAGTCAACCAGTGATTTTTATTTTGTTCTGTTTCTGTGTTTTGAAATTACAATTTGTAAGCTATGGAGGATTTAGATGATGGTTTCGTGTATGTGTGGATTGTAGTGCCATCGTTTTAAATATCCATCTCCAAGGTGAAGATGTCATGAAGATGGAAACCGTAGGGCTCTCCAAAGTGTTGGAAATGTGGTCCACATGTATATGGTGTCATCCAAAGGTAGGATCCACATTAGCACTAAACTTCCGTGAAAGTCTGAAATAGACTAAAGAGCCTGTATATGTTCATTCTGTAAAACCATTATTGACTTGTGTCAATAAAGTTGGGTCCTGAATCTATACCTCTTCCCCCCCACCCCCCTCAAGGATAAAAGGATTTTGTTCTAAGAAGTGGAAGGTGCTCCTTTAAAATCGCTCAACTGCATAATGTAACACTATTTTAGAAATTTGTATGAATGAGCTTTATCATTTTTATAATTAGAAATATATCTTCTGTGTCCATGTGCATGTTTTCCTTCAGGGTTTTCACATAGCCACCATGTTATTGATGCAAAGGTAAAGTTGTCCTTGTGCGAAGGCATTTGGGGAAGTGGATGTAATGATCCACATTTACTTGACCTCAGCACTAGCTGGAGGTGAGTGGTCAGCTTCACGCCCCGGCCACTTTACCCCAGGCAAAGAGTCGCCGATATAGCAGGTTGGGTGGACCCCAGAGCCAGTCTGGATGACATATAGAAGAGAAAATTCTTGACCCTACCGAGACTCGACCTCGACCCCTTGGTTGTTCAGCTTGTAGCCAGTTGCTATACTGACTACGCTATCACGCTCCTAGTCCTTGATGTACAGTATTCAGATTCAGCATAGTGCATTAATTATATTTATGTTCAATTTCAGCAGACTTGACATTTTCTCATGTGTGAAAATATAAATCTGGTGCGTTTAACTTGATATGAAGTCAGTCAGTGAATTACATTGTGTTTCATCTGCAGTGCATATGAGATTCAGAAATGGATTTTCCAATTTCCTTACATTCATTGTGGCTGTATTGTACTAGAGTTAGGTACAATCAGATTCATAATCTTTATAGAATCTAGATGTAGTCTTATTTCATTGATTCTATTTTCAGGCTGTGCTCGTTATCCTTGGCTTGTTTTGTTTGTGGGACTGTGTGTGGTAGTTGGTTTGGGTCATGGCATCAAATACATAAACGTAACCACAAACCCAGTAGAACTGTGGGCTTCACCGAATAGCAGGTCAAGAGTTGAACGAGAATATTTTGATAGCCACTTTGAACCCTTCTACCGCACAGAACAGGTTATCATCCATGCATCAGGATATAAGTCTGTAAGTGTATTTACATTTCTCTATTTTAACTTCCTGTAATCTAAAGTTAATTATTTTAGACAAATCATATTTCATCACTTGTATTTATACAAACTGAAAAATAAATTAACACAAGTAATGTGTAATATGTGAAGAAATATGATATTTAAATTATTAGATATGTAACGGATATTTAAATTTTTTTATTTGCAGATTGTTCACAATACTTCAAATGGACCCATAGTTTTTGGACCTGCTTTCAACAGTACTTTCCTAAAGACAGTTCTGTCCCTTCAGGAAGAAATAAAAAAGGTATAATTCATTGTTGTATCATTTTAATTGCAATGCTTGTGTTGATCTCAGGCATCTCTAACCGCTCTGGCTCAGAATTAAATGAGGTGAAATTCTTGTCAAATTAGAGATTACTTGTCATGTATATGGTTATGTAAGCGCTGTAATATTTTGGATTTGCCTTTGATAGTGTATGTGAATTCTTTGTTTAATGTTCTAAGGACACTGGATTTGAATATTAAACTCTAAATGAAAGAAGTGTAATGCTGAAATAGTCGGGCTCTGGCTGTAAGAAATTCAATGTGAAATGAGTGAACACAAATTGAAAAATATTAAATGTGTGTTGCGCTGTAAAAGCTATCCATGTAGCAGGCCATGGAGGCCCATAGGATAGTGAGACATTGAAGGTCCAACATTATCTAGACAGTTGGCTCACAGATGGCAGTAAGGTTGTCAGCCTTGCGTGCCAGCCTGCCACCCTTTACACCCTCAGGAAGATTCCTGGTACTCATTTCTCGTAGAGGCTGAATCAGCCCCAGGGCCATAGTGCGACTGGAAGGATTAGATCAATTGAAAAAAATCCACCTCATCGGGGCTTGGACCCATGACCTTCTGGCTTGTAGCTTAGTGCCATAACCAACAACACTGTTGTGTGCCCCCACGTTGCACTGTATTTTTTTTGTATTGTTGTAATAAAAGTATGAGCATGGTAACTTCAAAACTTTCCATAACACAAGCACATATATTAACGTGGGGGCAGGTGGGCTGGAGCCTGCTCATGCTCACCCTATATATGGAATGAAATTGTTCAGTTGCTGCTAGACTTGTGTCACTGATACCAGAGAGGAGTGCAAACTGTGGAAACCACAGGGAGACTTTGAGATTTTGCCAGCAATTGGGGAAACTGGCGGTGGAAACTACAGCTGCTTCAGATCGTATATGGTGGGTAAACAGTGTCTTGGTCCAAGATACGTGGTGTGTTCAAGTTCTGAGGTCTCCAGTTTTTTTCTCACACAATAATCATACAAAAAATTTGAAACTTCTGTCACTTTTCAACGTAATCTCCCTGCAGCCGTACACATTTTTCACAACGTCGACGCCATGATTCCATGGCCACTGCGAACGCTTCTGTAGGAGTCTGTTTTGACCACTGGAAAATCGCTGATGCAAAGCGGCATGACTGGTGAGTGTGCGACCACAGAGAGTGTCTTTCATCGTTGGGAAAAGCCAAAAATCACCAGGAGCCAGGTCAGCTGAGTAGGGAGCATGAGAAACCACTTCAGTGTTGTTTTCATGAAGAAACTGCTGCGTCGTGTACACCCAATGCGTTGGTGCATGTCCTGGTGAAAGAGCACACGTGCAGCCTTTTCCGGCCGTTATTCTCGCAGTGCTGGAAGGAGCTTGTTCTTCAAAACATTTTGGTAGGATGCACCTGTCACCGTAGTGCCCTTTGGAAGGCAATGAGTAAGGATTACACCATCGCTGTCCCAAAACATGGCCACCATCATTTTTTTAGCACTGGCGCTTACCCGAAATTTTTTTGGTGGCGGTGAGTATGTGTGCTTCCATTGAGCTGACTGGCGCTTCATTTCAGGATTGAAAAATGGCATCCATGTCTCATCCATTGTCACAGTTGATGAAAAGAAAGTCCCATTCATGCCTTCATCACATGTCAACATTGACTGGAAAATTGCCATGCGCGCAGCCTTGTGGTCGTCTGCCAGCATTCGTGGCACCCACCTGGAGGACACTTTCCGCATTCGCAGGTCTTCATGCAGGATTGTGTGCACAGATCCCATGGAAATGCCAACTTTGGAGGCGATGTTTTCCACACTCAATCGCCAATCCTCCAAAACAACTTTCTCAACTCGCTCGACCATGTGGTCAGACCAGCTGGTGCGAGGCCGAGATTGTTTTGGTTCGTTGTCACACAACGTTGGCCTTCTTTGAACTGTCGCACCCATGAACGCACATTTTTCACATTCATGACACCATCACCACATGTCTCACTCAACTGGCGATGAATTTCAATGGGTGTCGCACCACGCAAGTGGAGAAAACGAATGATTATTCGCTGTTCTTGTAACGAAAACGTTGCCATTTTAGGTATCAAAAACACTCTTCACTCTCGCCACCACCACTATAGTTCTGTGTGCCATACAGTGCTGCCATCTCTGTCACGCATTCACAAAGGGTGGACACGTATTTTAAACTAAACTGCATGTGTTTATCTGCTCCCAGTCCTGAGAAAAAAAAATTTGGAGACTTTAGAACTTGAATGCCCCTCGTATTTGTGTGCATAGCAGCTTCAAGGATGGTCATGAACTACAATATTATGACTGCAACATTGTAGATCAAAAATGGAGTAAAGTACGTCCATGAGGTTGTGGGCTTTGATGACTGACAAGATTATGGAGATGATGGCAGTAAAATCTGAATTACTGTTGCGTGTTGCCACACCATTCACAATATGGACCTGAAAGGGCATCACATCTCGCAGACACTGAGATTGCTGATGCTTCAAGAATATGATGCCAGCATTAGGTTTAGGAGACAGATCATTAAGGAGGTACTCAGCTGTTTACAGAAGGCATGTTATGTGAAGCATCCCATAATGAGGACAACCAAAACTAAGTGTTCATGCATTACACATCAGTCATTGCTTGTACAGAAGCAGTGCTATGCTGTTTTCTCCCGATTTTGCACTCTCCACTTTTTACCTCTATCGATACATAAAAGAGCAGCTAAAAAGCTTTGCAAGGTGGAGCTGATGTTCAAGTGGCTTCAGAGGCTGTTGCAGTAGATCTAGGACTTCAGAGACAGCTGAACGTAAGGACGTTTATAGCACAAGATTTAGGAAATGGCTTCTATTAGAGAACTTTCTGAAGTCACCACATATTAATAACCTTGAAGGTATTTATTGGTGTTTTGATATTCATGCAGATTGGAAGTGAAGAAGGCAGTGGGTTAGAGAAGATCTGCTTTGCTCCGTTGACATCACAGTTCACTGGACCACCCCATGTAAGACAGTGTGCGGTTCAGAGTGTCTGGGGCTACTTCCAAGATAGTGAAGAACTTTTTAATGAAACTGAAACTGATCCAGAAGGATTTGTTGTGAACTACTTGGATCATTTTGTGAAGTGCACGCAGTAAGTATCTACTTAGTTATCTGTCTGTATTTCATACATCTTAAATCTTTTAGATTCGAGGCTTTTATTTAGGTTTTGTGTCAGTTTCACCATCTGTTCTCCTCTTTCTCGTTCTGTAACTGGCATATTACAGATTGTATAAAACATGAATTATGCAGCTTTTCAGAGGTTTTCCAAATTTCTTCTTCATATTATTTTGGATAATTGAGGAGCTATTTCAAAGAAAAAGCGGCTCCGGTCTAGAAAACCGAAATTAACGGCCGTGGGGATTCATTGTGCTTACCACGCAACACCCTCTATCTGCAAAAGTTGGCACTAACTTCGCCGATAAGCGGCGGTTGTTCTGTCGGTATAGTTCGCTTGCAGACTAAAATCGTGGATTTTTTATTATTATTTCGTATTTTACAGTGTTTCAGATCTTGTTGTAGGTTCTTTCAACATGTACTTTCCCATTTCTTCTGTTGTGTTGAATAAATAAAATTACTGGTGAAATGTGTGCTTCTGGTATATATAATACATGATGCATTTATATCTCTTGCATGGTGTTTGCCAGTTCATAGTATCAGGTACCTCCTCCCTGATTTTGATTGCCCATTAAAATTACAAGCTATGTAGTAGACATCTGAAGGTTGATAACTGGTATCACTGCTAGTATTTTCCCCTTTACTTCATGTTCCGGACAGCTATTTGGTCTGCGCATCCTTTCGAGTGAAGGTGTTTATATGCTCTTTGGATAGTAACTGCATAGAATGTAGACAAATTGTGGTAGAGACATGAACAGAAAGAATATTATGGTACTATTTAAAGCTTGCCAAAGATTTGTACTTATCTGTAAAGTACTAAACTTTAGCAACATATTATGTAGATACTGGGTTTCCTGGGTTAAGACACTGTATAGTTTTTAGGTGGTTACCAACATTTTTTAGGTACTTTAAGCCTAATTTGTTAGGTCAGGGCATAACACTTCTGATTTGTATTTGCAAGGTTCCCATTTCAGATCTTGGCTTGAATACTGATTATCTTGACAGCCTTTGTTTTTTGTAGTTTTCCACCAGCTGAATATGAAGATATTACAACTGCTTCCTTCCACATCCTTTCCAATTCATCCTTAATCATCCCACTGTAAAGGTAAAGTTGTCCCTGTGGTTAATTAGTTAAACAATGTGCCATAAATACATATGGGGGAGTGGAGGTATAGCTATACCTTTCTTGAACTTAGCACTAGATGGAAGTGAGTGGTCAGCTTCACACCTCTGCTGTTTCCCCCTGCACCCCCTGGGGACGAGGCCAAAGTATCCATTGGCTAGGAGGCTGGGTGGGCCCCAGAGTTAGTCTGGATGCTGTGGAGAAGAGAACCATGGCCATCCAGCACATAGCCTGTCACTGTATGGGCTGATCATCCTGCTGTTCATCACTGAACAGTTTGAACTGTTGAAAGTATCATTAAATAAAACAGAGAAATAAATTTGCTATATCCATCTTCAAGGTTGAAGATGGAGGCTGCAAAATGTTTATAACCACCTTCAAAACCATTCATCAGTAATCTATCAAGACGACAGGTCCACAGTCTCTTCCAAAACAGTTCCTCCATTTGATGCGATCTAGAGCTTTCTCCTTCAAATGAAAATATCCTCTTCTGTCCCCAAAGTCATCCAGCATCTTCTTACGTCTTCTTGTCACTTCTATCCGCCCCTCTATCTTTCCTTCAATAACTTCTTTTAGAAGGCAGTTACCGCATAAGATATGACCAATCCAATTAGCCTTCCGTTTTCTTATTTCATGTAGGATATTCCTCTGCTCGCTGACTCTAAATAACACTTCATTTCTCACATAATCGGCCCAACTGATCTTCTCCAACACCACATTTCGAAGCTTTCCAGGTGTTTCTGATCTGCTGCTATAAGTGTCCAAGTTTCAGCCCCATACAAAGCCATGCTCCAACTGTAGCATTTCACTAGTTTCTTCCTAAAATTTAAGTCCAATTTGCTGGTAAAAAGATTCTTCTTGCTAAATCCAGCTTTTGCAGTGTCATAATTCAGAAGGCCACAAATTCCATTCTGTTTTATGTAATTTCAGGAATTACTACAATCCTGAATGCCTTGCTGGGTATGGAGGCCCTGTCGATCCAGCCATAGCTTTAGGTGGTTTCTTGAACGCTGGAGAGTCATTACAAGGTGAACCAAGCTATGAGAAGGCCACAGCAGTAATCCTTACATTTCTTGTCAATAACTATCACAACAAGACCAAACTGGTACCAGCTCTTGAATGGGAACAGAAGTAAGTACCATTTCATCGGTAAATAAACAAGGGTGAAAAGATAGGCTCCATCCTGTAGTTTTGATAGTTTTCAAAATGTACTTAACCATTAGAATCTGTATATTAATTTGTATTATCGCAGTTTTGTTTCTATGCTCTGTTTGTGATGAAATTTAAATTGCAAGTAATCTAGTTACACGAAGTCAATAGAAAGTCCGTCGAGTGTAACAAATGTTTTTAGGTCACTTCTTTATCACATTTGCCTTACATGTTTCGGTTTAATAAAACCATCATCAGAGGCACATATTACAAACACATGAAAACACTGGCGTTGTTTAAATGTACACAGTATATATGCTGCGTGGACGCTGCTACAATTGTCGATGTGTAAAAGCACAACACTTGCTAGGAATATTGAATGCACGTTCAACTCTCGCATTCCATCCGAAATTGCCCTCAAATTAAACCGTCAATGTTAAAATATTTAAAAGTTTAAAACATTTGAAGTAAAATGTTAGGCTCCTCCTTGTTAATTCATCCCGAANACAGTGCTCAAAGGAAATACTAAAATGTTTCCCTTCTTAACATTTACTGGTTGATGGGCAAAAAAGTGTATGTTATAAATGGACAGATACAGTATTCTTTGTATGTTGCACTGTGACTTAAAACTGTAAGATGGAAGAGCTTGTAGTACTCAGGTTAGCTGTTTTTCTGTTTCAGATTGACAGCAAAGTGACACTTGGTTTAGGAGGAGTGTTAATTGTACTTGCTTCTGTAGGTTGCTCAGTGGGCTTCTTTGGCTTTATTGGTGTTCCAGCAACCTTAATCATCATTGAAGTAAGTGTTGAGCCGTAGGAATGTTTGATATATGTTCTGAATTTGTTGTGCATTCATAGTGTTCCAGGGAAAGCATTCCCAAACTTCAGTTTGACCCTTATTTCTTCAATGAGCAGCCATCTTTGTATGTTGGTATGTTTTCCTGTTGTTTTCTTTTCTTCTCCAGTAATTTTAAGCCAATGTAGTGGTTTCCCAAGTATCTGATACTGAAGTTAATAAAATCATTTCAGGTAATTCCGTTCTTGGTACTTGCCGTGGGCGTCGACAATATCTTCATTCTTGTGCAGACACATCAGAGAGAACCTCGCCGTCCAAATGAAAGCCATGTGGAACATATAGGTCGTGTTGTTGCCCAAGTCGGGCCATCCATGCTCCTGACAAGCTTGTCAGAGTCATGTTGTTTCTTTCTAGGTAATCTGCGTTTCACTTAACTGACTTTATTTGAAAGGAGAATAGTTTTATCTTTCTTATTTGTCTGTGCAATACTGCATTACACAAGTTCGAGAAATTGTCCTTGCTTCTGACTTAGAGTAAATGAGGAAATCAGAAGAAAGCACTGCATAGCAAAGAAATGTCTTCATGAAGGTTAAATGGAGTTTAAATTGAAATGGCCACAAAACAAACAGCTGTAGCTGTAGCAGTGAGAGAGATAACTTAATCAAATTTCAGAATTACAGTGAAATAAGACATGTATTTGTTAAACAGGATCAGCAGTATAAAGAGCATGTGGCATGTCCATCAGGCATTCTTTATATATGAAACTATCAAATCTACAAAAAGACTTACCATATGAAAAGTATTTGCATAACAGAACGTTCATATTTAACACAAAGCAGAGAATGTTTTATCTTAAGTTTTTTGTTTCAGTGACTATGTTAACATGCTAAAAATGTAGGAAACAGTTTTCAGTACTTCTTGGTCTTTTATCTTTTTTTTTCAGCTTTCAGACTTCAAGCATGTCACTGTGAATTTCTAGAATAGTCTGTGGATTGGCTGTGTAAGCACACTGATCTGCTGACTTCTTAGGCATATGAGATTTCAGGTTCATATGGGGCATATTGTTTCCAAGAGTGTGACACCATATAGTTCATTAGAAGGAGATGGGGGCTACACATTTCTTCAAAATGTTGGTACCTAAGTATCAAATGATATGGTGTCATGTCCCAGAAGACATCAGTCTTCATACATTGAAATCTTGTGTTAATGAGTCATTGGAATAATTGGTTTCCTTACACAAAAATTAAGGTTTTCACAGAATGAGGGATTATACAAACATAAACCAACAAATTATTATTTTTGTTATAAGACATACTGTACCATATACAATTATGATAATTTATTTACATATGTAGTTAAGCATTGGAGCCAGGATACCTCAATAATTGTAATGATTTCCAGCAGTAAGAACGCATAAATATTACCGTAGCAGTTGATGTAAGTCAGGGTATGAGCTGTTGGGAGTTGAAAATTTCTCACATTAAATGCAGAATATTTACAGAATCAGAATTCACTAAATAGGGGAAAGTAATACTTTGTATATTGGTCTTTGTCTGGAACCTGCAAAAATATTCAGCGAAAGCAGGCACACTGATTGGGTTTGCACATGTTCTTAGACATTCTCTGAAACATTACAATTGTAATGTTTGCCAGTATATTGGATGTAATGAAACAAGCAGTACACATCCAACCTAAAAAGCATTGTTGTGCATTCTAAGAAGTCTTGTCATAATAATTTAAGGAATAGTACATTGTGTTTATTTTGTATATATAATTGTTCTCATTCTGCTTTTGAGGCACTACTACAAGCCTTGAATGTAGCAAAACTCATTCCCAACAAGTTGTACAGATACTGTAGCACAGGTAACTATGTATATATTGGATATCGTGCTAGGTTCCAGCACCTTCTTAATTATGAAATTCTTTTTAAAATGAGATGTTCATAATCACAATTTTGCTTTCAGGAGCTTTATCGGACATGCCTGCAGTTCGTGCATTTGCTTTGTATGCAGGAATGGCTCTGCTGATCGATTTCTTACTTCAGATCACCTGCTTTGTCAGTTTGTTAGCTCTGGACACCATACGACAAGCAGTAAGTTATATCCCTTGTCATTGCTACACTTCTGTATATTTGTTGTTGTGTGTTTAAATGTGGGAAGACAGTTCTAGTTTATCTGTCTATCTTATTTTGTTTAAATGAGGCTTATATATTTATGCTTTCCTTAAAACCTGAGAGTTGTCTGGTTACCCAGTGATTGTCATTTACAGCAGCACTGTCAGCATCTAAAAGAAGGAAAATGTTATGTCAAGGCACACATTGAAGCTTCTGTCGTTTTTATAACGCTGTAAGTTTTAATATGTGGTGCAATCCAAAAGTTCCCAAAATATATTAATAAAAACTATTACATCTTACCTAGATCTTATTCTGCACCATCACCTTCAAAGTAGTCCCCTTGGGAGCACATACACCGATCCCATCGTTTCTGCTACTTTTCAGATGCACCCTGGGAAGTCTTTCTTTGTTAGGGTGTTTAGTACCGTCTGCGTTTCCGCTTGAATTTCCTCAACTGTATCAAATCTTCACCCCTTCAACTTGATTTTCATCTTGGGGAAGAGAAAGAAGTCGCATGGAGCTAAATCTGGCGAGTACGGTGGATGGGGAACAACTGCCATCTTGTTTTTAGCCAAAAATTCCTGCACAATGTAAGCCGTATGCGGTAGTGCGTTGTCATGGTGGAGTACCCAGTCGTTCATGTGCCACTTCTCTGGACGTTTTCTCCTCATGTTCTCCCTCAAACGCCTTAGAACATCACGATAGAACTCTTTATTGACTGTCTGACCAGGAGGGATGAACTCCTTATGAACAATCCCGTCAATATCAAAAAAACAGATCAACATGGACTTAATGTTGCTCTTGACTTGTCGAGCTTTTCTTGGCCGAGGTGAAGAAGGGCTCTTCTATTGCGACGATTGCTGCTTGCTTTCAGGGTCGTAGCCATAAACCAAACTTTCGTCACCAGTGACAACCTTCGAAAGAAAGTTTGGATGCTCTTGAAGCTGTTGCTGAAGTTCCCTGCAGACTTCCAAGTGATGCTGCTTCTGTTCATTTTGCAGCAGTCGTGGCACAAACTTTGCCGCAATCCTCCTCATGTTCAGTTCCTCTGACAAAATTCGTTGACATGTACCATAACTTAGTCCCAAGGTGTTACAGAGGTCTTTGGTGGTCAGCCTACCATCTTGCAGAATCAGATCCCTAACTTTTGCAACATTTTCTGGTGTTTAGCCTGTTGACGGTCGTCCTGAACGATCGTCATCATCAGTCAATGTTCGGCCAATTTTAAAACGCTTATACCAGTTGTAAGTTTTTGTCTGGCCTAAACTGTTTTCACCAAAAGCTTGCTTCAACATTTGGTGTGTTTCTGCAGCGGATTTCCCATGTTTGAAACAAAACTTTATACAGACACGCTGCTCCTTCAGGTCAGCCATCACAAAACCACAAACTCACGGAAACACAACAATGGAAATACGTTCACCAACAATAAACCCAACCACTCAACTCAATGCCGCTTGCCACACTGATTCAAGAAGGATGTGTGAGGAGACCCCTAGTGGTATTTCTATGTACTCATAACCATTCGCGCGCAAAATTCAAATTTTGGAAACTTTTGGATTGCCCCACGTATGATGCTTGTGAATTGTATGCAAGTAACAAATACTTTCAAGTTATTACGCAGTTGACATTTTTTATTTCTTAATTTTAAGGCCTGTGAATTGGCGTTAACCTTCCTGACATTTGTTACAGGGCAATAGATTAGATGTTTGTTGCTTCATGCATGGTCCTAAGGCTGAAGTAGATCCCAGCTCTGAGGGAATCCTATACAAGCTCTTCAAGGTTCTCTACGTGCCTTTGCTAATGAAGACACCGGTCAGAGCTGCTGTGATGGTGGTATTTTTTGGCTGGTTATGCACAAGTATTGCTGTAATCCCTGGCATTGAAGTTGGTCTGGACCAAGAACTCTCAATGTCTGAAGATTCATATGTTCTTAAATATTTCAAGGTAGCCCACATAAAATTCTTACACAAGAATAATATGTTTAAAAAGAAACTATAATGACTATCACATTGAAAATGTAAGATGTCAATGTCACAGAGCAGGACATTAGAATTTTTTCCACATTGTTTATGTGTGTATCAGTTTGTTGAATTTTTCAAACCTCTTTAGTTCTTAAATAATTAATAACTCCATTATCCAGAGGTCACAGAAACCATCTTACCAGAACAAAACATGTTCGTGATTTAAATATTTGTTTCAGAACATGAGCCGTTATTTATCCATTGGGCCCCCAATGTATTTTGTTGTCAAAAGTGGTCTGAATTACTCAGATCCCAATATACANACATTATTAATACGTGAAGACTACTGAAGGTAGTGTGAAGAGATTTGTGAGTAAAGTCTGTAAAGTGTGTAAACCCGTAATATTGTCATAATTAATTGTAGTTACGACTTCTAGGTTGTTAAATAAACCAATTAACAATCTGAACGGTGTCTTCAGTGGCAAAACACATGACAATATATATATATATTGTCACGTGACAAATAACTTCACACCGTTTTGGATCTTAGTGAATTTATTGAATACTCGCTCTTACACTTACACAGTTCACAATTTCATTGTCCGAATCACTTCTGCTGTAGTCACCTCCATTCACTCGATACAACTCGATAACAACTCGTAGCTACTGGACTTCAACTCATACTGNCTAACGGCATCAGTGGCAAAACACGTGACATATATATATATATATATATATTGTCACGTGTTGGGTGTTTGTCATGCGACAAAGAACTTCACACAGTTTTGGATCTTAATGAATTTATTGAATACTCGCTCTTACACTTACACAATTCACAATTTTATTGTCCCAGTTACTTCTGCTGTAGTCACTTCCATTCACTCGATACAACTCGATAACAACTCGTAGCTGCTGGACTTCAACTCATACTGAATGCTGCTCTTAATACTAGTAACTCTCTCTGATTTAACACTGACATATACTCCTCGTTATGTAGCTTCCGCACTGACAACACAGAAAACAGTTATGTGATAGCTGCCACTGTTGTGTGACATCGAGTGTACCGATTGCCTAGCAGTAGTCTGCACGGACTCCACTGTTGCGTGACGTCACAGCCTAGCGGCGAGGGGTGTTTACTGAGTGTTTCATAGTTACAGGATGAGTGGGGTATGTGATGTCACTCACACTTCCTGTTGTGCAATCCAAGTGTTCACAGAGTTGTCACCTAGCAACGCACCGATACAATCCACAACTCTCACATTGTGTGTGCACCCCAAGGCTTCTGTGGCTCAACAGTTCCTGCATAGTGCAAATACACCACAAAAAAAAATGTATATATATATAAGAAATCACACTTTTTAACAGATGAATGAACAGCAAGGTCATCAGGAGCAGCAGTTTGATATGTTCAATTAACGAAGATACATAATTTGGAAGTTTCTGTATTGTATTTGCAGACAAATATACAGCTAACCATGCAAGATATTTTACATACTAACAGCAGGAAAATATGGCCATTGCTCTGTTCATGAACTCATACAGCAAGAATATTTAACTAATTTTAACTTATAGTGTCTGTTACTTTTAACAACACAACTTATTTGACTGACTTTAATATTTTAGCCTATCTTGATTTACATGTATATTGGTATAAATCACTTTATAACAACCTGTGTGTATCATACATGTAAAGTCTTTCCTTCCTAGTATTGGCTTTACCTTCTGATGGTGGCCAGTAGTGTACAGAACATGAAAAGGATTTTTATTTATATAGATTAAATTGTTGCACTTCATGAATCATGCCACCCATTCACCCATAATGTAGACATATTTATGTATCTACAGCATTTCTTAGTGATTGCATTTTTTTTTTGCTTTCATATTTACAGAACGTACATTGCTAGAGCTGCAGCTTCATGGATAGATGACTACTATGATTGGTCAGCTCCTAATTCCGGATGTTGCAGGTTCTTTCCACAGAACAGTTCCTTCTGCCCGCATAGCCGTATGTTTTGTTATTATGATTATGTATTTTTTTATTATGGTGGATTATATATGGCACGGTTACTTCTCTGTACCACAACAAGAGTAGCTCTTGTCCCCACCCTCGTTTCCAATAGGAACTGGGTGCTCTTTCTCTGGTGTAAACTGTCCTGAGCAGTAAGCTGCCCATGCCCCTTTAGTGCTTGGGTTAAGAAAGTCCCCTGTGTGTCTTCATGGCACGATGCTTAATCAAGCACAAGGATAACTTTTATATGTGTAACTTACCTTAAATACGAGGGTCATACTGAAAGTCATGAGCAGCAATTTTTTGTAAAGTAACATGCTTTATTATTGACAAACCAAATACACTACCTCAATCTACAGACCTTTCTTTATTTTTCCACATAATTGCCACTTCTTTGTACACATTTCTTCCAGCATTCTGGGAGTTTGAAAATTCCCATTCTGTAAAATTCTGTTCCAGCCATCCAAAGACACTGATGCACTGCTTTCTGAATTGCCTCCCTTGTCTCAAAACGTCCACGCAGCTGATCCTTCACAAATCTGAAAAGATGGTAGTCTGAGGGTGCCAGATCCGGGCTATAGGAAGGGTGTGGAAGAACTTCCCACCCTATCTTTGCAGTTGCTTCCAATGTGAGGCGAGCGTCATGGGGGCGACTGTTGTCATGCAGGATGATGATGTTTCGTCCCTGATGTTTATCGCGCAATGCACGACAGAGCTTGTGCAGCGTCTGGACATAACAGGCAGCATTGATGGTTTGCCCAGGTTCCAGGAATTTGGCCAGAATAAACCCCTCTGCATCCCAGAAGACTGTGCCCATCACCTTCGCAGCTGATGGCACTGTCTTTGCCTTCTTTTTTGATGGAGAATGCAGATGGTGCCATTCCATACTCTGCTGTTTCGTTTCAGGCTCAAAATGGTGAAACCAGCTTTCCTCACCTGTCACAATACAGAGCAAAAAATCATCGCTTTCGTCGCAGTTCTGAGGTGATGGTTTTTCGCTGACCTTTATGGTCTTCGGTCGATAACCATGGGACCCAACGAGCACAAACTTTCCTAAAGCCCAAACTTTCAATCATCTCCTTAGCCGCATTAGGCCATATTCCAAGTTTTTGGGCTATTGCGTCCACAGTCACGCGCCTGTCATCTTGAATGATGTCATCCACTCTTTCCTTGTTTCGTTCATTTGAGGCTGTTTGAGGACGACCGCTCCGAGGTTTGTCTTCGATGCTGGTGTTCCCATCTTTAAAATGTTTCACCCATCTTCAAACACTGCTCACACCCATGCACACACTTCCATAAACATGCTGAAGTCTCTGGTGAATTTCTGTAGCAGGGATTTCCTCTTTCACAAGAAATTCGATGACAGCACACTGGTGAAATGACATATCGTCGGCCATTTTGTTAGGAGTGATACTGGTCACGTGATGCAAGCTATTGACATCACAAGACAGTCAGAGTTGAACACAACAGCTGGTTCCAGCTACCACTGTATTCTCTTTCATCTGCTGTTCCCAGGTTGCATGCAAAAAAAAGGTGCTCATAACTTTCAGTACAACCTACATATAAGTGTATGGGTCATATAAGTAAGGCTTGGAAAAAATGTGTCTGTTTGCCTGGCGGAGGTTAATTTTTCTGTGAACAGATATTTGCAGTAGTAATTTATATTAATGAACTTCATTTCAGTATTTCTTTTTGAATTGATGTTTATGGGTTGCCAGAAACTTTATTTTCATTGTGTTAGCCATAGAGAAAGGGGAAGAGGAAAGATAATAAAAGTAGCTTAAATGTGTGTGGGGCACGCAGTAGCGTAGTTCGTTGGGGGCTATGCGACAAGCCGGAAGGTCGCGGGTTCAAGGCTTGATGAGATCATTGGATTTTTTCATTTGACCTAATCCTTCTAGCCGCATTAGGCCCTGGGGTTTACTCAGCCTCCAACAGAAATGAGTACCAGGAATTAATTAAATAATTTTCCTGGGGAGTAAAGTGTGGCCAGTCCGTAAGGCTGACAACCTTACTGCCATCTTTGAACCAATTGTCTAGATGGTGTGGGACCCTCAACATCTCACAACCCTATGGGCCTTCACGGCCTGGTACAGGGATAGCTTTACTTTACTTCATAAGGTTTTGTGGTGGTGAATGGATTTTTAGTGTGGCAAGTAGGACTTCACATAATGTATCGTTGTCTTTTAAATCAGCCGTGTTTCCCTTTTCTTGTTTTAGATTCTGGCTGTTTAGACTGTGTTATTCGTGTTGACAAAAAAACCGGTCGACTAGTTCCAGTTGATTTTGAAAAGTACATCCCATTCTTTTTGCAAGATAACCCAGATGAATCCTGTGCTAAGGCTGGACATGCGGCTTACGGACAGGTATGTATTGGATCAATATCAGTTTTATTTAAAATTTCAGAAATTGAAGGGTTGGATGGAGAAAAATTTGAGCTAAAAATTGGTACTAAAACAACATATCTCTGACCGTTTATAAAGGAAATGGAGTTGCTAAATGCATGTGTTTATTTGTTGGAGTTTTTTAAAACAGGTCTTTTGTAATTTTACAAAAGTAAATGAAAACAGAGCCACATTCTGCGATGTCTAGTTGATGGAATTGCATTGTAAGTACTGGAAATTTGTGGCAACATGTGAATGGGGTTTTTATAATTTGTATATGCCATTTTGTGTCTAAAATTTATAAACATTTTTAAGTACTATTTAATGTCACCAAATATGAAGTTCATTGATTAGTCACTTCATAGTTGGTCTGTTGATAAAGACAGATGTGCAGATATTACTCAGTTTTACATTGTAATGGGTTGTTGGTGATCTGGTCTCTTGACAGTTAAGTAGTGCTTTATGAATGATTGTTTTTCAGGGTGTTAGATATGAAGTGGATGAACACGGCCTTGCCCATGTCGGAGCAAACTATTTCATGGCATATCACACAATCTTGAAAACATCGAAGGATTATTTTGAGTCACTGAGATCAGCTCGGACAATTTCAGCAAATGTTACAGACACCATAAACTCGCATTTGCAGACCTTGGGTTACAGTACCACCATTGAAGTGTTCCCATACAGGTGAGGTTTTGTAAACAGTATTCATTTTGATGACATATTTACTTAACTAACTCTCTGGGGTAGACTTTGTGATAAGGAGGGAATCAAATAGTTCATTACTGTGTACATTGGCTGAGACGTATATATATATATATATATATAAGGAATAGCTCAAGTTCTGCATCACATTTGGAATACAAATACAAATATGCTGAACGAATGTAATATTACAGTTCACTATTTCAGGGGTTTTTTTTATTATTATTTATTTTTATTTATTCCCAACCTGATATCCATACCCAGTTCATGGTAGAAAGTAAATAATGTGTATTTAACTGTACTGTGTGAAAGTAATTATATACTTTAGTATGAACCCGCAAATTTTTAACCCTTTGACGCGGTAATTTAAATTCCGCGGCTGCGTCTCCTGCGGTAATATATTCAGCCGGCCATTTAAATTTTGCTCGAAAATGATTTATTCATCATTGTTCTTAAATTCTATGAGATAGGAACATGAAACTTTCACTAAAATGATCTTAAAAGGTGGTTTTATAACCTTACCTTATAATATGAGCGCCCTTTATATCTTCAATGGAAGCAGGTTTTTTAGTATTTGAGCAGTGAATGGTACGCCTTGAAGCATGAAACTTTCACTAAAATGATCTTAAAAGATGGTTTTTATAACCTTACCTTATAATATGAGCGCCC